TAAGTCTAACAAAATATTCGCTCCTTTTATATCATGATGAACATAACCTCTACTGTGTATATATTCCAGGACATCCACAATTTGTAATGCAACTTTAAAAGCAGTAACAACAGGAAATTCGTTCTTACAATCTAAAAATAACTTGGAAATATCGTCTCCAAACCGTTCCAGCACGAGGAAACGATACTTTTCCTTGTTAATTGTGTGAGACCCTGAACTAATGTAGCGCGGCATACCCAAAGATTTTAATTTATTCTCCTTCATGAACGCAGATATATCATCTTGTTTAGCGATTCTCATCAAGAAATTCATTTCGACAAATAATGGACCATTTCCGTGTGGTTCAATTTTTATAACATAAGGAAATTCGGTGTTGTTTTTAGATTCGTCTAACTCTTGAGCTAGATAAATGAGTCCGAATCCTCCTTTTCCAATTGGATTTCCAGGATTTCTTTTTGTGAACATCTTCCAAAACTTCTCCGGAACGTATGTGATCTTGCAATTGATCATTTGCACGTTTGTTTAGGGGACATGATTGAGCCAAAACAATTTATAATCGTCAGGACAACACAATTTATAAAATTATACCACGTTTCACAATTAAGCAATGACGAGAAATTGTAAATGAGGTTAAACCGAATGAACCGAATGAGGAAAAGGAGGAGGATTCCGCGGACTTCTTCTTCCACTTCTTCCGTGCCGCCGAAACGTTTAATTTACGAATGAATTTTTATTTTAGTTTTTTTTTTCTTATAATTAAGGGTGGAGGTGTGTAGTGTTTTATAATAAATATTATTTTGGGTTAAGAATAGCGCAGGCGCGTGAAGCGCAACTTGTTTTGTAAAAGAACAAGAAAACGAGTATTCATTAAAGTGTTGTACGTAAAAGCAACAATGTCTTTAAATTGCCACTCCCTTTTAGTGCACATATCTTTGGTAATTATAATAAGTTAAATGAGTGTAATACACAACAGTATGAAACTAATAAGATGCTTAAAAAGAGTAGAAATCATAAAAGATCACGAAAAACAGATAGAAATAATACAAAAATACCATGATGGTAAATAAAATCACCGCGGAATAATTGAAACAATTAATGAAATAAAGAGAAACTACTCGTGGAAAAATTTACAACAGATGACAAGTAAATATATAGGAAATTGTGAAACATGTCACAAGACAAAATATGAACGACACCCAATTAAAACACCATTATTATTAACAGAAACACCAACAAAACCAATGCAGATTATGCATATAGATTTATTCAAAATTGATAATGCAATGTTTCTCACCATAATAGATAACTTTTCAAAATACGCACAAGCATATTATATTAGAGATAAAAATGCTATAACAATTGCGGATAATATGATAGATTATTTTGGAAAATTCGGAATACCAAATAAAGTAATATGTGACAACGGTACAGAATTTAAGAATAAAGTAATACAAGAGTTAATGAAATTATTATATAGTATATTAGGGGGGGGGGCGTGATGGCTCAGCGTGTTAGCTCTCGGGATAACACGCAGACGTCCCGGATTCGACCCCGGTGAATTCACGTTGAGTCGCCCCCCGTCCTTCGGAGGGGACGTTAAGCCGTCGGTCCCGGCAACCAGTCTAACATCTCTGGTTGTCGTTAGCACGCATGTGTGTGAGGCTCGACTTATAGGGACGCATGCGCGTGAGCGCCCTCTGACCCCTCGGGGTCGGGGCGGCGGTAACTCGTCATTGGAAACGAGTAAGCGGTATCGTCACCTAACGAGATCTTCTCTACCATCTCGAGCCTCCCAGGGAGTATGCACAAGGGGCCCACTGGGGCCTAAGTGCGCGTAAAAATTACGCACCCCTCTACATACATACATACATATTTTATTTTTTTCTATATAAAATAGATATTCATTTTACAACAATCGGACATCATGAAAGAAACTCACCCGTAGAAAGACTACATTCAACCCTAATAGAACACATAAGAATAATTAAATTAATGTAATCCGAAATTCTAATTCAAACAGTTATGAATAGAGCAATATTAGCTTATAATTCGAGCATAAACCCAATAATTAAACATACACCACTTGAAATACTATTCAGTAGAACTAATAATACAGATCCAATAAACATAGCTTATGAACAAAAATATTACGATATTAAGATTATATAGAAAATCATAAAAATTTAACAAATATATTATATAAGAACGTAAATGAAAGACAAAGAATAATTAAAGAAAAAGTAATAGAAGAAACGAAAAATAAAATTACAAGAACCAAAAATCACTTTAGGAACTGAAGTTTATTGGAAAATACAACAAAAGGGTAGAAAATCAGATAAAACCTATCAAGGCCCATACATAATTAATGTAAACCGTGCCTGAATACAAAACTAAAAGAAAAGACGGCACATATAAATGAACTAAAAATCCGAAATATTCCAGGTTCTTCATCACAGAATGCAGAACAGAGCTAAAAGAAATAACGGAATCAATAGGAATACTACCGATACGACTAAGTGTAACATACAATAGTAAATTATATTTTGAAATAATGATCAAATTAGATCTAAACAATATAATGAAATTATATAACAATTATAAAAAATCATATTATAATACTTTAAATGAAAATAATTTTACTGAAACAGAATTGTTAAAAGAATTAGATAATGAAATTTGTTATAAAATCAATGCTTTAAATTTAAAAACCAGACATAAAAGAGGATTAATAAATCTATTAGGAAACGCTATAAAGTTTGTCACAGAAAATCTAGATCAAACTGATGCTGAACATTATGACCAAATAATTACTAAAATCAGTGATTCACAAAATCATATTTCAAACAATTATATGAATACTATCAGATATCTGAATGAAACAACTGATAAAATTTATGCAAATAAGTCAAGAAATTAATAACTTAAACAAAAGAAAATCAAAACAAGATAAATTACATGCTCAAATATCATATTTACATGAATTTAACGTAAAATTAAGTGATTTAATTGAAATCATAAATTTGGCAAAAAGAAATATTTTACATTCACTATTAATACCGCCAGAAAAATTAATTGAAGAAATGAAAAATATTAATTTCGAAAATAATCATAAATTTCCTTTTGAAGTATTAATTGAAAATGAGTATTTAATTGAAAGTATGTTAAACGTAAAAGCATACCAAAAACGAAACGTTTACGTTTTTATCAATTCAGGTACCTATAATTGATAATAATGAGTATCAATATTATGAATTGTATCCATTACCAACACTGATTAATGATACATATGTTCAAATCGAACCAGAATTACGATTTATAGCCGCTAATGACGATACGTACATTTTAATGAACGAACCATGTAAAAGTTTAAAACAAAACGAATTCTTATGTTTCAATCAAATTAATCGATACAATAAAGAAAATTGTGAATTAAATATTGTAACACATGGTAGTATAAAATATATCAAATTATAAGAAGTAAATATCAAATCTATTAATATACTAGAACATCCAGATATAACAATTCTAATTTTAAAAGAAAATGTAGAAATTAAAGAAAGATGTGGAAAATTAACTAGAATCCTAAAATTGAAAGGTACATATCAAATTGTAAACAATAATAAATGTCAGTATAACACTAACGGAACCGTAATACAAAATTATTTTAAGATAAACAAAAATTTAAGAAATTTTCTAACCAAAATAAAATTTGAAAACATTAAAATTGAAAAACATCCTCAAATAATGTTAAAAAATATTACCGGTGTAATAGAAAATAATATACCGTATTTAAATTTAAACGCAAATAAAAATAATGTATTAATTTACGTAACAATAATAATGATTGTAATTGTTATAATATGCGTCATTTATAAGTATCTACACAGAATATATCTACATTATAAAGTAACAAGAAAAGAAGACATCCAGGAGAATGTCCAATTTAGAGAGGGAGGAGTTATGTGACACCATATCTAAGGAGAAAAATGAATCATCCTAGAATCCCCAGAAACTTCCATAAAAAGCCCTTAAATAAAAAAAAATCTTAATAATTCATTCATTTCACTCGACGTCGTTATAGTGTTAGTTTGAACTTTGTAGTTAATTCTAAAATAAAAATAACTTAATTTTTGAAAAGAGTTTTTAAAAATAAAACTTCTAACTTCAAAAACAAAAGTTATATATATAAATTTTTAACTTTGGTTGATAAATGTTGATGTAAATAAATTTAAATTTTGTTAATTAAATTTTGAATCGTATTAAGTTGTTTTCAGTATAGCACATTATAAAAGAAAAACTGGCTTCCGTAACATTATTTCTTTCTTAAAGTCGCTAGATCCGTATGAACGTGTAGAATTGCATTATAAATTTGACATTTTGATAAAAAAACTAAAGATAATTATGGAAAATATACATTTAAGCCATGGAATTGACAAATTAATTAATAAGCATACTCGATAAAGGTACGTTTTGTTTGTTTGTGATAATGTATATCCGGTTTACGTTCGGTTTGTTTTAAGTTTTCCGTAATGGAGATAATGTTGCCGACGTTGATTTTAACCTTTTTTTAGAGTGGTTTCTGTTGATGAACTATTTAAAATAGTTTGAAACGTCAAATGTATTAATAATCATAATAAAAAATCAAGAGGAAATTCCTGTATTTTAAATTTTTATAATCATTAAAAGAATATAAATCCTCTTTAATCATAAATAAATGTCTAAATATTTAAAGGATTACTTTTATAGAATCGTATTTATAATAAATGTACCAATACTTTTGCATGAAGCTGTACGCATGTTGGGATAGGACAACGCTGATTCCGCTTCACGTAAATCAAGTGTTAACTGCATCATACTAGATATATTAAATTATTTTTGTAATTAAATACTGCTCAATAAATACATAAAAAAATAATAAGAATAAATTGTATCTAAAAATGTAAAATAATTTAAATCATGCCATCTATTAATGGGAAATCAAACTATACTTGGTACCAGATGTCGTTTCAGTGACGCATAAGCTCTTTCTTTAACATCGCATTACTCGTCTCGTACGTGACATCTTGACGTCATTCTGGTTTCCATTCAAAGAAGAGTTGATCTCGAAGAAGCTTTTTTCTAGTGTTAACAGTTTTTTCATAAACAGCGCTGTAGAAATGTCTAAATATTGTACATGGAATGTCTCTTGTAACGTTTACGTTAAAATTTCCGTAAATTGTCATCGAATAAAAACAAAAAAGAGGCAGATTATCAATTCTGCATTGCGAAGATGATTACGAAGTAGATGTGGGTATGGATGAGGTAAGAATTTTTATAAAAAAAATTGCAAAATGAAGAGAAACTTATTTTATAATAGTAAATGTATTCTTAAAATTGGCATTTACGTACTTACTAGATTGATTATATTACTTACTCTATTTTATAAGTTTGTTTTTGTTATTTTTCCTGGCTCCTACTTTGGACTTAATCCCATTTCCATGCCAAATAAATAAATAAGATCAATTCCAGGGGCAGTGATTTCTCCAACAAGATGGCGCGCCACCACATTATGACCTTCCTCTTGGAGTTTATTTAAACCAATTATTTCCCAATTGATGGATTGGGAGAAGAGGAACAATTGATCTGACTGTAATATCACCAGACTTGACTGCCAGACTTCTTCCTTTAAGTTCATACCACTGGACCAAATACTCTGGATGAACAAAAAATCAGAACACAAGAAGAATCAGAAGTTCAGCAAATAATTCTTGATACCTTAGGGAATTGTTAAGAAGAATTTAAAAATCGTTTAGGAGCTGCCCAAGGTATGCTATTTGAACGTTTAGCTTAATTTTAATTTTTTATTTATTCATTTCCATAAAATTTCAATGAAATTGCATAATTTTTAATGCTTACTTATCTGGTGGTTTCCGTGATATCAAGGCTAAGTCACGCTTCCTCAGCTTGAATTATTAATATATTTATAAATTGTGTCCTAAATCTATCATTCTGATAGATAAAAATACATTGAGGACATTTACTTCTGATTAGTTACAATAATTCATTTGTATAGGTATAAAATGTGAAATATATTTTTATCTAATATTTTTTTTTAATTTTAGGTGAGAACACCCTTCTAAAAGTATAGATAGTACCACTTTGTCTCAGTTGTGCACCAGTTGATTATGCACTGAAATTACAAACACCTTCAAGACAGTTATTTTGATTAGCAATATAATGACACCAACTATGGTTTTCCTGTAATCTAACTTTTGAAGACAATTCCTCAGTTTAACAGGTAATAGTTTAATTTTTTAATCAAGATAAAATTATAATCCTTTTTGTATCGGGTGTATTGGCAACTTTTGGTATCGATTCAACTTGAATCAGATTTGAATAGTATTAAATACTTGACTTGATTCTCATGAATCGATTCCATTTTTGAGAATCGTTTCAATGCTTTAAAATTAAAATCAAAAAATAACTTTAAAAATGAAAACCAACTCCAAGAATTGATACGCTAGTTAATGTGTTAACAATAATCATAAATAATCTTGTAAGTCTTCTTTCGCTAAATCACAAAATTGCTTGATCTTAAAAAAATTTGTGCAAGAAATAGTTATCTGTTCAAAGAAAAGTTTTTTGTAAATTGAACAATGGATCTTTTATACATAACTGACCTCTAAATTGTAACCAAAGCATGATTTATCAATTACATTAAATACATATTAAGCAAATTTTAAACAATACAATACAATTTTCAATTGCAAATTAATTTATTGGGAAAAATGTGCGAGTTTTCACTCTTAAAGAAATGTTGCCTATTAGGGCATCTCCAACTACATTGTATATAAAACTAATAATTTGATTCTTGTTTGTAGGCTCATTCTTTGTCTTTGTTATAAGCTTAGCTGCCTATCTTTGCAGAGACATTTGTTTTTGAATAAAATAATCAATAAGCACTCATGAATAATGTAGTAGATTAATAAAACCTATGAATTATTAAATTATTATGTGAAAAAATAGAATCAATTTTATACGAAAAATGAAATTGCAGTTTTTTTTTAAATCTATTGTAATAAAAAAAGTGGTATACAGGGTCCCTTGTATAACACAGTTAATTTGTATTGTGCTAATCGAAACCATGTTATACGAGATTATTTTATTTATTTAAATTATTATTTTATATAATTTTTTAATTGTTAACATACTTCATTCTCCTTTTGAATTTTTCTTGCATTTAAATTAATATATGTCTACAAATGTACGACGTTTCGAGCGTAATATTCGCCCATCATCAGGTACATAACAATCTACAAAACATCACATTACTGTGAACTAGCACATTATCTCAAATAAAAAAAATTAAATTTTAAAAAACATACAGTATAAATCAAAACATTAACAAACAACATCTAAATTTAAGTATAAAATTATAATATTTTTCTTTTACGTACCATCAATAGAGTTTTTTTAATTATTAATTCTTTCATTATATGCGGAAACTTTTCTTTAGATCCGAGTTGACTTTCGTATTAAAAATACCCATGTGGTTTGGTTTTCCTGTAAAGTCTTTTCGTCAAAGAAAACCTGTTCTTTATTGTATAATAATTTTGATTTTTCTTGTTTAAATCGTTAACTCATATATTATTTTGGCATACCTATTTTTCCCGTATCTGATTTGAAATTAACTGTTTTGTTTACATTCTTGGTTATAAATATTGCTTCTAAATTTTTTCTATAAAAGTATTTTTTTCGTTTCTTAAAATCTTTGGTTTTTCAAAATTAAAATGGTGTTGCTTTTTTATTGTATGTTGGCACAATCCTGTCTTATTTATTGTTTTCAAACTTTTTACATCATATTGATGTTGTTTTAAACGTCTGTCAAGATGTTGTTTTGATTCTCCTATGTAAAGTTTGTTATAGCTCATACATTTGAGTTGATAAATTGTATTTACCTTATCCATAGGTTTTATTTTGTCATTCATATTAGTCATCAATGTTTCTAATTTATTACATAACATAATAATAACATATATATTTATTGCCATAAATAATTACAAAATAGATTTACAAAAAAAATCGAAACACAATCAATATTATTACATAATTATTAGAAATATGAATCAGTTTACCGCCTAAGAATTTGTACCAAACACAATTGCTTGAGTTTTAGTAGCATTTAGCTTTAACCAAAAAAGCTTAGACCAGTCATGCACTTTAACAAGGTCACGATTTAGATGCTCCACAGCCAAAGGGAATTCACTAACGGTTGTACTGGTGTAAATCTGGAGGTCATCTGCATATAAATGATAACTAGAAGAAATTACTTTTGTGACACTATTGATAAAAATAGAGAAAAGCACCCAAAACACTTCCTTGAGGCACCCCACAAAGAAGTTCGTGAGTGGACGAAGGGCCTGTGTCAGTGCAAACACATAAGGATTGGAACATTGGAACCATGACAAAGAAGTAGGAGAAAACTGATAGATGAGAGGAGAATATCATGATCGACTGAATCAAAGACTTTACTGAAATCTAGCAAGGTCAAACGTCGGTTATCACAAGCCTATCTTATATCATCAGTAATCTTAATCAGTGCAGTTGTAGTACTGTGACCTGGCCGGAAATCAGACTGCAAATCATTGATTATACGACGCTCCTCAAGATAATTAAATACTTGATTATACACGACATGCTCAAAAGCCTTTGACAGGATAGAGAGAATTGATATAGGACGAAAGTCACAAGGGGAAACTGGAGTTTTTAACTTAGGAGCAGGCACAACACGCGCAAGCTTCAATATGGCCGTAATTTATTACGATTATACTATGCGAACTTCATTTCATTTATCTCATACTTCTTAAAAATTTTTGTTATTTTATAAGTCATTTCAGGTATATATTTGATTTTATGATATTTTATTTGAGTAACATTATCCATTATCTATAGTGTTATCTATAGAGTCTTTCTAATTTCCACTCACATAATTTGTAATTAAGGGTTGTTTCTTATTATCAATTTTGATGTTTCTCTCTCGTAAATTGTATTGATGATTTTCTTTGGTAGTTGGTTTATTACTAGTGTCTCATTTCGTCTGCGATGAAAGAAAAATGTGTAGTTGCCTTTTATCAATCTTAATACCGAAGAAATGTATGGGCACCTGTTTATAAACACGTTCAAAATTTCGACGTACCACGGCCAAACTAGTAGTTCCTTTAACGTTCCAAAATATCCCTTTATTTCTATTAATTAGTGATATCTTCCAGAATTTTTGGCTGCTAAACTATATGCTCCTCCAATTAAATCTTTTGCCTAAGTTTATAACATGTATTTATTTACTTAAAAACAAATTTGTTTATAAAAAAATAACGCCTGCTATGTCCTATAACGAACAAAGACGGTTGTAAACAAGTGCTTTACGAACCCCAAACTCTGGCGTAATTTGTTCCGCATTAACGAAAATTATTCAAGTTAAATTTTATCGCGGCGGTCCGGCCGAGGGTTGGGTCGATTACCTGAAGCTGATTTACGATGAACGTCGAAAAACAGTTCCCGTGCGGTTATTATAAACATTTCGAAAAAAATTTGTTAATAAGATCACTTCAGAATAATGTATCCTACAACCGTGTAATGCTCTGATGCGGAAGATACCGGACCCTGTATATATATATATATATATAAAAGCTTACCTATAAATAATAATTTAGTTCTGTGCGTCAAAAAGCAAAGAAAACTTCAAAGGTGTATAATATAAACAGTGTTAAAATATAAATAAAATAATTTATTAATCATGATTTAATATAATCATTTTTGAATTGTTTCTCCCACTTTTAAAATTTTTGTTGATACATTTTAAAGAATAATAAATTCTCATACGTCCATACAATCTTATTAAATAAATACTTGGAAAATTATTACAAGGGTGTTTAAAAAGCAAAGACTGAAAAATTGAAAGAAACTGTTCCAAAACACCATTTCCTCGTATGAACACTTCAAAATGTTATTATATATACCCCTTGCCATTACTACCAAAAGATTGAGTGCTGGATGGAATGATCGGCCATGACCTATATCCTCAAAGCCAATAACTTCATCAGTTGAAATGTTAAAAAACAAATGAGCCTTAATGGCCATTTCATCAAGACAGATGGAGCAGTGTCTATCTTTCGAATTCATGGTTCCAATTTTCATTTGTAACATATCAAATATATTGTCATTAATTCCAGGCTTTAGTTTCATATTCTAAGTTGCTCTTTATAGTGTTCTCTTACATGGCACAATGAAAAAGCTCTCCAAAAATGAATCAGTTTTTGGGCTTAAAAAAATACAATTTTAAACAAAAACTTTTAAAATCATTAGAGTAGCGTCGCCCGCCTGCATTTTTTTGGCGTAGTTCAAATTGATAGATGAGAAATGGTGACATTTCTTCTGGAAATAATTTCTTCAATACTGCTTTCACATCGTGGACTGTAATGCGTTCCAATGCAGGTTGGTCCAACACTTTGGTATGAAACTACTTGTTTTTGTAGCTGAGTTATTTTGCTTTTTAACGTTTTGTTTTGTTGTCTGAGTTTAACTATTCTCGGTGAAGTTAAATACCAAAGACCAGTTTGTGTAGCTACAGTGTGTGCACTTTTCATTGCTACAGAGCTTTCTTCAGGTTGTTTCCCTATAGAGCTTACTGATGTAGCGTTGTTTTCGTTCTCGGGAACGGGTATATCTGTAAAAGAGGTAATATAGGTTATGAAGTACTTGATTATTCATACTTTTTAGTCTTAATAAACTACTACAGAGGCTTCTTCTGTTTGTTTCTCTACAGAGATAACAGATAAATTCATTTCGTAGTTGTTGTCATCGGAAACTGATATATCTGTAAAAGGTATAATATAGGTTATTATTGCAGATTTAAATTAAAAAAAAAACAATGTGTACCCTACAGGAAATCATGTATAATATTATATTACCTGCTGATGAGACTGTATTATATGCAGATGTGTTAGATGAGCCTGCTTCATCCAAATACCGTGTAGGTTTAGCAATTTTCCGAAGTCGCTTTCTCTGGACATTTGTATACATCTCATTTTCAAAATGTAAACCACACACTCGATAATAAGGTAAAATCCTGCCAGAAGCATTCATTTCTTTTATCAAATCAACTAGTTTACAAGGTATAGCCCACTGCATACACCTATTGATATTTAGTTTACATTAAAGTAAAGTTTAAGATATAAATAAAAACCTCTAGGAACATACCTGTACTTATTTGTAGGGAATTTATGGGGGGTTGTTCGGGTATGACCATATGTACGGCAACAACTGCGCACTACACATACCGACTTAACGTCCAAGCGTTCTATGTTCATCGTAACGCACTTAAAAATTAAACTAACTAAAGTTAATCACTACAAAAAAACCTTAATAAACAATATGAAAACTAAAGAAACACTAAAAATAAACGCTATCTATCAGACCATGTGAAAATATCAGAAATCTGACCTTAAATTGCATCAAAACAATCAGTGCTGCACCAAGCGGTAAAACATTGAAATATCGCCCGAGACGCGTAACAAAAATAAAATATAAAAAAAAAAACCACTTGTCCTTACTTGTATAATCTATATACTATGACTATACCACAATTTCAAACAACATCGATTTTTATGACGGTCATAAATAAAAGCCGGCTAGACAAGTACAAGATCGGATATAATTTGTTGACACTAAAATTATTTCTCTATAATTTGCAATAAAGGTGTGTTCCTCAATGCGGCTCTTAGTGAATAATCCCGTGTTTGTCCGTTTTATTCCCACAGAAGTAAAGAGACGGAGTTATAAAAAGCGACCTCGATATGGAAGACTTGTAGATTGTTATCTCTACCGTGCTTGTTAAAGGTTTATAACATCTACAATTTAAATCATTTGAAATTGAAACTTCATAGAATCAAGAGTTTAAACAAGATTTTGCTATAAAAATAATAACAAGATTTTTTTGAAAAAAAGGACAGTCAAATTTCGCAGCTATCGAATCCAGTCTCGTGAGTGTTGCACAAATTGTCACATAATTACGCAGTACCTTGCATATTCCTTTTTGTGTTTTTGCAAGATGTTGAAATCAAAAGAACAGATCGAAAGTGATCTCAATAAAAATCCCGATGACGGAGGGTATAAATTTTATAACCATGTTAAGGGAAAAAGCGAAGTTTTGGCAAATTTTGACTTGATTATGTTTGCAGAGACAACTCTAGATTTTACCATCCTAAAAGTGGAACACCTTTTAAGACATAAATGTAGTGTTTCTGTTAAAATTGATTTTGAAAACCGACGTACTTTAGACAGATATATCATGAAACCACTGCCAACTGCAAATTTCTTTATTGGAACAATAAGTGGTGAACAGTATTTGAATTTTCTTCAATTAAAATTAATTCTAAGATTAGTTGCAATTTTTCCAAATGCAGAATATCCGAATTCACTACATCCCAGATTTGGCTACAGTAAGTTGGCGCGCCTCCTCATTATGCACTAGTTGTACGACAATACCTCAACCAAAAATTTCCCAATCGGTGGATTGGTAGATGCGGACATATTGAATGGCCGGCAAGATGGCCTGACTCCTTTAGACTTAACCCCTTTATTGTAAAAACATTCTACAAACTAATGAAATAGAACAAAATTTAATTTAAATTTATGATGAATGGAGGAAGATCTTTAAAGCTTTAAAGGAAGTATTGCCCATCTGAATATGCCAGTTTTTATTATTTATTTTAATTTTATTACTTTATTACTTTATTTTGACTTTTTGAATAAATGAAAGCTCAAACAAACGTCAGTGTTACATTTATTTCAAAACATGATAAAACTAAACTCCCTGTTAATTCTGCCATTAGTCAAACACGATTAATTAATAATCAAATTAATAAGTAATCAAACATGATTCATACATTTGATCACGTGATGATGCGTGAGTCACGTGATTCATATATGATATTCACGTGAGTGGTGTGCGTAAAGAATCGCTCACGTGCACATCTCTAATCTAGATTACCGTAAAGATTTGGTTTTAAATCTGACATGAACTCGGTGGGATCGATTTCCACGAACATTTTACACTTCATACACAACGGGTGATAGGATAAGAGACACAACATAGGGAGCGGAGTATTTCGGAGCTAACTTTGCCGCAAAACTTTTCTGCTGGGACGAGAGATGATGTTCTTTTTTCATTACTAGTTCTTTTAATTTCGGTCGCCAGTTTCATCTTCGGATGTTATAATGATGGCTCTGTTCATTAAAGCCTCGAGCCATCCACAATCGGACGAAGTCAGTGATCCTTCATTTTCTGTAGTTTTGAGGCATGTGAAGTTCTGTCAATACTCGGTAAAGGCCTTTTGGGACTTCTAGTTCTCTTCCGAAGTTTAAAAACGCTGGTGAATATCCAGTGGTATCATGCTTTGCAGTATTAATTAAGGTACGTTTTCGTAAGGACAAATCCGGCTGACTTGTTGGTCCGACATGTTTGTTGGCCGACTAGTTGGAAATGTGGGTGTTTACGTAGCTACTTGTCGGCAACCGACATGTCGTGGAAACGGTCTGAAAAATCGAACTCTGCAGTTAGTACCAAGATGGCAGACGATAAAGTAGAACAAGTAGTGTCAGCTTTCGTGGTGTTGGCAAGAAGTCTTGCTTTAGAGTTATTACAACCTCAAAAGAATTCAAACCGAAAACGCAAAAGAAGGTATATTAGAAGTTTTTTAGCGGAAAGACGTTTCGAAGGTGCATATAGCTCCTTAATGACTGATCTTCGCTTGCAAAATGGATACGAAAACTTCGTTCGTATGTCTCATACCGAGTTTGAAAGATAACGTATCTCCAGTGGAACAATTAGCAGTAACTTTACGGATTTTAGCCACGGGTGACAGCTATGGAAGTTTGATGTATCAGCATAGTGTATCAAAGACTAAGTTGTCACAAATAATTTCGAATGCGTGTAAAGCAATCGTTCAAGTTCTACGTGAAGAAATTAAAGTAAGGTATACTGGGGCTAATGGGACCGCGAAATCCATTAGTTCGATTTTAATTCCTGTTAATTTCGTTGTATACTTACCGATTTAAATGAAAGTTTAGGTGGTGTACACTCAACATGTTTTGAGTTGATAGCTAAAAACTTAAGGCGAAATATTGATGTTTTTTTTTCTTAATTGAACTACAAAAAAATTCAATGGTTCACACTTCCCCATCAAATTGGGGAAAGTGTGAATTTGGTGTCTAGTGTACCTAAAATGCAATGGAACTTTAAACCGGGAAATGTAAATGAAAGCGCAGGCAAAATACCATAGAAAATCTTTCTCTCAAAAATACAACTTAATTTACATTTGTGTCAAATATGATTGAAAATGTAAAGTGCCCTCTTCAAACGTCAAGATAATTCTGGAGTTTTCAAGATAATTTCATATTTTCTCTGCATACCTTTATAAGTTTATTTTAAATACTAAATATATGTATCAGCAATAAATTCAACTCAAAAGACATTTTTAAGTATTCAAATTACAACAAATACAGATGTAACAAATCTCCGTTGTATCGTCGTTGTCCGACAGAAGTTGTCGAGTTGATTGATAATTCTTTCTCCATAATCGTGTTTTCTTCCATGATTTTTTGGTGAGGTTATTTGCTTTCAAAATTACCAACATGAAGATATCTTCGTCTTCCAACACACAAAAGTTTGGTTTAAATTAACATTAATAATGAAACTACTAAAAAGTGTTGACATAAATGAATAACCGTTAGCATTCACAATAATAATTTTGCCTAATAATTATGAAGTATCGAATAGATAGTGCATATAAATTATTGAATTGTAATACATATTAATTACATGTTTTTCATTTTGTTTCAGCTTGTGGGCGTATTGCATGGATTTAAGATCGTCAATCATTGTGCAACTAAAATGGGACCATTACGTTGATAGTAAATATTTTGTCTGATATTCAATGGAACTTCTTTCAGTAGGTCTATCAAATTAATTACGAAAAAGGAAAATTGATGTTGAACATGACTTTCCACTGTCACATGTGGGTTATTATCAGACCAATATAAATTTGTATATTATTTCCACAATATACTGCTGAGATATCTTAATGATTTCATATTTGTGATATGTAGTTAGGAACCAGTCTTTTATGGCTGTGCTATTGATAGGTAGACAAGTGTTCTACAAAGAATAATTGTCACAGAGCTTCAGAATAATTCTTTGTGGAATGCATGTGTACGTGCAACCTGTACATGTTGGAATCTGTTTTCTGATAATTTGTTTTCTTAAAGTATCTAAAATGTAACTCTTCCTTATAACTCTGAAAATAGAAATAGAAATAAATATCGAAAACTCATTTTTAAGCGTGCGGCGCCTCCGCGCGCCACCGGCTGTTTTTAATTAAACAAATTTTAATGCATAAACGAATACAGATAAAGATACAGCAAAACCTCGATATAACGGACCCTCCTGGTCATCTGAAATAAAATTAAAAAAAGATTCTTAATTAGTAAGTGTGTCCAATTTTTCGTCGATTTGATATAAAAGTGGTAGGGGTGATAGAGGGTTATATATTTAAGGTTGGTACAAAATTTGAAGTAAATTGGGTAAATAGAACTTGAGATATCAGGTCAACCATGTTGAAAAAACTACTTTTGAGAAAAACACGTTTAATCTTTTGAGCTAGTTTCAAGGGGTTTATACGTACGTTTTGTTAATCGGCGATTCCTGCTTCATAGAGAGTGCCTTCTTCGACTTCAAAATGAACATTTTCGGAAGTTCGTTTTGATTTACGAGCAGTTCTAGCTTCCTTAGTTGAAGCCCAGGTTAAAAGACCTTTAAAACGGTTAATGTCTTTATTTATTTATTTATTCGTTTCGGGATGCAGACAGGTTACCCCAATAAAGCATCCACTAAACTTACAAACAAAATACAGATATAACATAATAAGTCCTAAACTATAAAGCTAAACAGACATGAAAGAAAAAAAAACAAAAATACAATCCAAAAGCAACTTTCTTTAGCGTCTTCTTTTAGATCTTAGAGTTTATAGTTCTCTGGCCAGAATACGCGAGGATTCATTAGTACTGGCTAGTCTCCGGTGACGCAGGATTGAAATCCTTTTCGCTCGTGGAGCCAAAGATGTAAGTATTGGCAGGCTGTTGCTGAGAGGTTGATGTGCTGAAACTTAAACTCGGGGACAGGTTGGGTATGTTTGGTAAAGTAGTATTACCTGTGACCATGGTCTTATCTCCCCCGACCGTAGCGACCCCCGGCTTTGTAACTCCGGAGGAGCCTGGCTGCAAAGTTGGCGGATGCACCATAATATTTGAGATTACTTTAAGCTTCCTGCCGGGAGTCTGGGAAGGGGGAGATGAAAGGCGTCGGCGTTTTCGACACTCTCCCGATGGACTGGGAGACGAGAGGTTGGTAGCGTCGAGGGACGTATTCTCGACAGGTTGGACTGCGGGCGATGGAGGCCGCTGGAGAATCGGCTCGGTCGGGCGTCGAGACGGGTACAGGAAGTGCCTCTAGGGCTGCAGCGGCTATGACCTGTATGCGCTGCTGGCGCGTGGATGACGCACCTGGTCCACTGAAAGGCCTGTACACATTTCCGAAACAAACGGTTTTCAACGTCAGAGCACAGTCTGACACGTCTGACAACGTCAGAGTCGGGGACAACAGCTGACATGACCTCGAGGTAGGGGCCTTCGCGTGCCTTGCGCTCGTGAGCGATGGTGGAGGAGTAGGACGGAAAAGTTTTTGGACAAAAACGACATTGCTTTCGGTTGCGCTTACCACAATTTGGCTTGTGTTTTGCTAGACCAAAGCGCGTGCCGAAGCTGGAGCCGCACTGTTGACACAAATGGAGTTTATTGGCAGCGGGCGGACCCAGGACGCGTTTCGCCGGGCCCGAAATAGTTTTAATTTTTGCCGCACCGCCTGAACGGCTCCCGGAAGAACCGGGGTTCTTGTCTGAAAACATCACGACAAGTAAAACAAAACAACACTATATAAGAGCTCACAATGTTACACAACGTTCACAATTGAAACAGTACGCAATAGGGCGGCTGACCTCTAAGCAACGACGTTTCGCGAGCTGTGAAAATCAATTTGATAAACACAGCGATAAAAACGCATCTTGTCGCTCCTACGGCGACATCCGAATGCAAAGGGTTAAAATCTTAAACAAAATTGGGTTTACACCCTCAACAAGTCTAACTTTGGCCGCATATCTTTCGAGGAGGACTCTCTTGGAAGGTAAAACAAAACTTCTTAGGTATCTGTAACATTTAGGTCCCAAAAAATATAAAGATAGCGCAAATTTCTTGATTTCATTGGAGTACCGGTGACCATGACTGTTTTTTATTGACTACTCTACTTGTATTTTGATAAATTTTGATATTTCCGGCGTTAAAAATTTGTCACACATATCCTTCCATAAATTAATATCTGCTGGTGGTTTTATAGTATTTTCTTCCAACTCCTGAATTCGTTTTTTTAGAAAAATGTTTTCTTCTTGAAGATCTTTTATAACTAGTGATAGTTTTCGTTTTCGGGGCGTATCTGTAGACAATATTTTTAATGTTTGTGTCCCCACAGGAGACATCGATGGGGACGTATCCGTGGACAGTCCTTTTATTGTTTGTGTCCTCGGAGGAGACATTGGTGGGGAATCAAACGATTCTAATATTGGGTCTGTGACTGGAATTGATACCTGAATATTTTGTAAAATTTTTATTTTTTGTGGTGGTTCTAACGCAGGTGTTGATGACGTCGAGCGATCAAGTAATGGTTGAATATATAAAGACGGTACAGCTTGAGATAACAGCCGTGGTTTGTCAGGGCCCAAATACATATCGTTACCAAAATGAAGACTACATACGCGATAGGATTTATAAAGTTTACATTTATCAAATTTCATTAAATCTTGTCGTCCACTATTTTTTAGCCATATCTCATATTTCCTTATCTTTTAGAAATCGAAAAAATTTTATACTCGCTTTTCTTTTTCGCCCCATAAAATGTATATTTTAGAGTTGGGACCGAAGCCGAATAATTATTCGCTCTTCGGCTTATTCGGCCTCATTTTTAGTATTCGGCTATTCGGCCGAATATTTGGCAATTCCGCCGAATATTGAGTTTTATGTGTAGACGTTTTAAATTTTAATAAATCTTGTGGTGCAGATCACAATAGGTTTACGAAACAAAACACATGATAACTTACTCATCAGATAAACTTTATTTGATAAAAAAGATCAATAATCATAATTAATTAACGGCAAGTTTTCGTGCAAAAATACTAAATGGGCAGCTCTCTCTGGTAGTAAGCGATTTCTTTTTTTTTTCATATAAGTTCCCTGCTTCTGAAAACAGTCGCTCACTGAAAATTGTGCTTGATGGAGCGGATAAATACACTTTTGCAAGACAACTCATTTTAGAATATTTGAAACTGTTTGTTTTCCACCAAACAAATGGATCTTCATCTCGTTTTAAGAGTTCTCCGGATAAATAACAGTCCAGTTCAATTGCTATCCTATTTCTTGGATTGAAGTCTTTAACGGCCTTACTAGACGAAGCTATGTCTTTATAGCAGTCCCAGAAAATACCATGACTTCGATTGATCCCACTTGTTGAAGGTAACTCTTCATCGTTATCTCTATCATCGCTACTGCTGCTCTCTGAATTAAATTCCCTTTGAAGCGCTTCTAAAAAAAGGTACGCCTTATAACAGATATGTTTTCAGATGAGAAAAATTGAAAACGAAATCGAGGATCAAGTAACGTTGCCATATAATAATTTTTTTCCATTTCTATATTTTCAAATCTTATCTTTACCC